TGTTGAACAAGCAGTCGCTCAGCAAAGTTCGGACAGACCGCATCATCTGTTCAACATGCGAGTACCCATAATTATTCGGGGAACAGGACGTTCCAGCTGTTGACTGACCTTAGCTTTGGGCTGAGTCAGTACAGGTGTGTGTCTCATCAACATGTCCATCTGGTACGCGGTGAATGTGCTAGGGTCCTGTATGGCGCTAACTTGAAAGCCGTTGGAGTAGAGTTTCAACATGGGTGTCTTACAGACGTTCTCACGGCAGCACAGCTCGTTGTCCGTAAAGCAATCGACAGCGCCAAAGCCGTAACCATCTTCCTGCCCTCGGTCAGCAGCCTAGTAGAGCAGGACATCAAATTGAAATTAAAGGTCAGTTTTGTGTGTCACTAAGTTACAGTCACTCACACGATAGGTCTCGTCTTGTGGCTCGTCGGCTCTGAACTGCAGTTGCCGCATAGGCATGCACCAGTCGGATTACTCCTGGCCAGCTTATTATTTGTCAGTGCAAGGTCGTTTCTTCTGAACCCATACTAGACTATACAGTAAGTAGTCATCATTGGCACCTTTCCGTCTTTCCAGACGATAGTGTTATATTGTGCTATGAGGAGGTATGAGACTCAGCAAATGGCGATGGCGAGTGTGACTAGTAAGACTCGACCGTGTCAAGAAAAGCCTGTCACAATGAAAGCATGGGATTTCAGGACCATTGTTGTCAACATTTGTGTTTAATCAGTTTCTTTACAGATTCTCAGCTCTCATCCTTTCTGCAATTATTTCTTCCTTTAGTCTCATTCCCTTCCTGATATGCCCTTTCCACACAACACGATCCATGGCATTTTGTTCCCATGAGTGCGCCTCAAAACCTGTATCATTCATGTCCCGCTTGCATTCATCTTTATAACATAGTAGAGGTCGGCCTCGACATCTTCTTCCTGAAAAGGTAGTATATACAACATACAATGTCAGGGGATTGCTTACTACCTGCCTTGCGTAAACTAGGGCAGAAAGTTATGGTTGTTGGTCCCAATTCTTGATTTCAGTTGCGTTACATAACTTGAATGATGTTTGCACATACATTTCCTGATCTGGTCGATTTGTATGTAGACTGTTGGTTTCTTGGCTCTTCAGAGGTGCTCCCGACTTTAAAAGAAACATCTAATTACTCGACTCTTATGACATGCTTTGTAGGCAATCAGTGGGTAAATTCATTTAACCCACATTACACGAGATGTTGATAACAATGATTATGATGGGAAGATGATGGTAATGAGGATAATTTTGGAGAAGATAATGATTATGTTGGAGATTTAGTTTGACTGGTTTGAACAGCGGGTCAACATCAAGGTTAGTAATTAAAAAGTGCTCTGTTCTAATTCTAACTCAAGCCTGAATTAGAAGGATTTCAGTGCAGTGCACGAACTCTGTAGCACCAGCGAGTATAGTGTACTGCTTGATGTATAATTTTTAACTCCACATTTTGCTTGGACAGCTACCAAGGGATTGTTTTCGTGCGCAACAGTACACACTGGCGTCCGGTCTTGCTACCTAGAGACTAGGGGAAATTACTAGAAGTCCACAAGAAAAAAATGTCAGCCTTTGCTTCACCCTTCTCAATTCATGCAGTTCACCCAATGCTGTTCCCATCTTTTTAACTTCCCTTTCTAGCTCCCTTCTCTGTGCTTTCCCCCCCTTTATTTCTATGCCCCTTTCGTTTCAGTGGAAAGATATTCTAGTTTTATTGTACTTAGGTTTTCTTAATGTGTGTCCTGTCCGTCACCTGCGTCTTCTCTTCACCTCTTAGTTTACTGGAATTTGTTTGGTTCTCTCCCAAAGCTCATCATTAGTGATTCTATGATACCATTTAGATTTCCAATAAAACACACACTGTGAAAACAGTCATTCTGAAATAAAATAGTATAATTGTGGAAGACTTTTTCTTAATGCTGGCGGGTCCTACTTGTCACACTCGCCATTGCCATGGGATGTGAGTTCTATGCCTACTCATTGAACAAAATAAAACTATCATCTGGAAAGACGTACAGGCGAAAATCATTCTGAGCAAGCACCAGGAAATGACGCTTGTAGTTTATTAGTTATACTTTTCCTCGTTGTCATGTTTCCGCTCCATACAGAAATACTGATTTGACATTAGATTTTTTTTTTTTTTTGTAAAGTAATAGTTTTAATTTTTTTTCGACATGCACACATTTTCTAGTGCTCTGGAAGCCTCTATTGCCTTTTGTATTCGTATTTTAACTTCTCTGTCAGCTCCTCCATCTTTATTTACATCACTGCGAAAACAGGTGTACGACTGTGTTGGAGTGGGGTACCATTAAAAGAAACCATATCACTATTTGCCTGATTTATTCTCATTTTCTTTGTCTTTTCCTTGTGTGTGTGTGTGTTTTTATTTTTCCACCTAGCTGTTGTGATCTAACATCAAGCATATTTAATATATTTTGCCTCTGATTCCGTGAGTGGGACGGAAGATACATATCGTCAGCAAAGTCCCGATGGTCAAGCGGTTTTGTAGGAGTCACCTGAATTCTTGTAGGGGTCACCTGAATTCTTGTAGGGGTCACCTGAATTGTTGTAGGGGTCACCTGAATTCTTGTATGGGTCACCTGAATTTTTTATAGGGTCTCGTGAATTCTTGTAGAGGTCACGTGAATTCTTGTAGGAGTCATCTGAATTCTATGCCTTTTAGCGGTGGCCCCCTTTATAATCCAGTCTTTTGCGAGTCGAAACTGATAGCGCGGCAACATACATCCCTGTCGCACACCTGTTCTGATTTTAGATGTATCTTTAAGTTTTTCTTTACACAGAATTCGGCATTTCGTATCACTACATATTGCTTTGAATGAGGATTATGTTGGAGATAGTAGTGTTGATTTTTGTAATGACGATTATGTTGGAGATAGTAGTGTTGATTTTTGTAATGACGATTATGTTGTAGACTGCTGTGATTCTAGTTTTTTAGGTTTTATTGGCAATGGTCATTATACTGATGTTTATACTTGTTACGATTACGATGGATTAATTTAGGAATGAAGACGACGGGCAAGGCCGGGACTTACAGTTTCAAACTCCTGTTTGAGCCTGTCCTTGTCAGGTCCCGGGGTTGTGTAGAACATCACCAGCGACTTCTCCATGCCCCGGTGAAAGTGAAGGAAGTTGTACAGATTCAGGCTCTTAATGTTGTCAGTACCGAAGCGAGGGTCTGGGGCGATCATAGTACCAGCGCCCATCCGTGACTGTCGGCGCCACGCTAAATCATCCCGTGAAGTGGCTTCATTTCGGAAGGCGGATGGGGCTTTTTGTTCGGGCGCTCTTGGGTAGGTTGTTGTCGGTGGAGCTGGGATTGTTTCTGCAGGTGCAGCTGGTAAATTTATTGGGGGCAGATAAGATCGACGGGCCTGGGAACCCATTTTTAACGGTTGCCTATTTGAGAGTTGTGGTAAATCACTGCGCTCTGGTGGGGTACTCGTCCCGTAGGCAGAGCGTTTTTGTGGGTCAAGGTCACATGTTTGATAGGGTTTTTGATAGGGTCTTTGCGGGTCATGTTCAATTTTTTGAAATAGTGTTTCTCTATTGAACTTAAAGTCTTGGTGGAATGATGGCAGAGCTTGGACACCACGGTATGGCTTCGGCATTTTGGATATCCTTTAAGGTATGCACCACTCAAGAATCAAAACGTACATTGCATTGTAGTGTAAAGCTGGATTGTAGGAGTGACGATCACATGTTGTCCCCCTGAAAATAAAAGGGTAGATAAAGAAAAAATTATACAATCATTAAACACTTAGAGTCGCACCTCGGACTTCGAACAGCTCAGTTCCGAAATGGCGTTTAAGTCCAGATCGTTTGAGATCAAATGCAATTCTGTTTCGCTTGAAACTCAGGCAGACTCAAATAGTTTGTTACAGGGTTCAACAAACTCAAATAGTCTGTTACAGGGTTTACCAAACTCAAATAGTATGTTACAGGGTTTACCAAACTCAAATAGTCTGTTACAGGGTTTAACAAACTCAAATAGTATGTTACAGGGTTTAACAAACTCAAATAGTATGTTACAGGGTTTACCAAACTCAAATAGTCTGTTACAGGGTTTACCAAACTCAAATAGTCTGTTACAGGGTTTAACAAACTCAAATAGTCTGCTACAGGGCTTACTAAACTCAAATAGTCTGTTACAGGGTTTAACAAACTCAAATAGTCTGTTACAGGGTTTAACAAACTCAAATAGTCTGTTACAGGGTTTAACAAACTCAAATAGTCTGCTACAGGGTTTAACAAACTCAAATAGTCTGTTACAGGGTTTACCAAACTCAAATAGTCTGTTACAGGGTTTAACGAGCTCAAATAGTCTGCTACAGGGTTTAACGAGCTCAAATAGTCTGCTACAGGGTTTACCAAACTCAAATAGTCTGTTACAGGGTTTAACAAACTCAAATAGTCTGTTACAGGGTTTAACAAACTCAAATAGTCTGTTACAGGGTTTAACAAACTCAAATAGTCTGTTACAGGGTTTAACAAACTCAAATAGTCTGTTTACAGGGTTTAACAACTCAAATAGTCTGTTTTACAGGGTTTAACAAACTCAAATAGTCTGTTACAGGGTTTAACAAACTCAAATAGTCTGTTACAGGGTTTAACAAACTCAAATAGTCTGTTACAGGGTTTAACAAACTCAAATAGTCTGTTACAGGGTTTAACAAACTCAAATAGTCTGTTACAGGGTTTAACAAACTCAAATAGTCTGCTACAGGGTTTACCAAACTCAAATAGTCTGCTACAGGGTTTAACAAACTCAAATAGTCTGTTACAGGGTTTACCAAACTCAAATAGTCTGTTACAGGGTTTAACAAACTCAAATAGTCTGCTACAGGGTTTAAAACAAACTCAAATAGTCTATTACAGGGTTTAACAAACTCAAATAGTGTGCTACAGGGTTTAACAAACTCAAATAGTCTGCTACAGGGTTTACCAAACTCAAATAGTGTGCTACAGGGTTTAACAAACTCAAATAGTGTGCTACAGGGTTTAACAAACTCAAATAGTCTGCTACAGGGTTTAACAAACTCAAATAGTATGTTATATTTTTTAACAAACTCAAAAAGTCCCTTACAGGGTTTAACAAACTCAAAAAGTCCCTTATAGGGTTTAACAAACTCAAATAGTCTGCTACAGGGTTTAACAAACTCAAATAGTCTGCTACAGGGTTTACCAAACTCAAATAGTCTGTTACAGGGTTTAACAGACTCAAATAGTGTGCTACAGGGTTTAACAAACTCAAATAGTCTGCTACAGGGTTTAACAAACTCAAATAGTATGTTATATTTTTTAACAAACTCAAAAAGTCCCTTACAGGGTTTAACAAACTCAAAAAGTCCCTTACAGGGTTTAACAAACTTAAAAAGTCCCTTACAGGGTTTAACAAACTCAAATAGTCTGCTACAGGGTTTACCAAACTCAAATAGTATGTTATATTTTTTAACAAACTCAAAAAGTCCCTTACAGGGTTTAACAAACTCAAAAAGTCCCTTACAGGGTTTAACAAACTCAAAAAGTCCCTTACAGGGTTTAACAAACTCAAAAAGTCCCTTACAGGGTTTAACAAACTCAAAAAGTCCCTTACAGGGTTTAACAAACTCAAATAGTCTGCTACAGGGTTTACCAAACTCAAAAGGTATGTTATATGGGTTAACAAACTCAAATAGTCTTTTACAGACATGGATTCAAACAGGGTTAAGCAAACTAGAATTTTAAAGTGCATTTCCTAAACACACAGTAAATATATAAACACGTGATAATCATATTTGAATACAAACATAATAACAATTTTTAAAAGATGTACAAATATTGTATTTGCTGTAGCTTGATCAAAATGGTGACACATGACATAGGAGTAGGAAGTAGAGGAGGGGTGGAAAGGCGGGAAGGGGGGGGGGGGGCTTTAGTGAAGTTACTGTTTGGAAGTGACAGTGACAGTGACAGTGATATACTGTTTGGAACTGACAGTGACAGACTATTTCAAAGTCAGTGTTCGAAAATGGTATCATTGAATATGTTAATACATCTGTTAACTAGTTTTGTGTCCGGGTGTCACTTTAAAACAACTTCTTTCGTTTTCGACCGCAGGTCACACTATTGTGGATGTCAACAGTGCTAATCCTTTCAGCCTTCCCCTCTTCCTCCATGGAAAAAATTTCTCCTGCAGTTTCTTCTTTCTGTTGCTGGGGAAGGTGCTGAAGCTCTAGCGTTGTCAGCTCAGTCGCGGGATCGGCACGTGAAAGTCCTTCGTTTTTAAAGGTTTGTTTCAGTTCCAAAGCAAAGTTTGCTTCAAATGTTTGCTCGAGTTTTAGGTGCTTCGAATTCAAAGGTACCAGTGTGATGTTCTAACAAAATATATACTGATTTAGGACCATAGGGCGGTCTCATCGAACTGCGCACATTAGGATTTATTTTCATTTCGTTTAGCCACTACGGGAAAGAAATCTATCACCTTACCTAGAATTGTAACCTGGGTCTCAAACAACTGAAAATCCAGGAACAAGACAAAGCTGACACATAGATTACGTGAGATTACAAGAAGAAGGGCACATAAACTGAATTATAACCGGAAAACGAAATACTGTCTCTGCAGCAAACGTCAGTGAGAAGACAAGTGAGAAACTGAAATACTTTCTCTGTAACAAACGTCAGTGATAGAACAAGTGAGAAACTGAAATACTTTCTCTGTAACAAACGTCAGTGAGAAAACAAGTGAGAAATTGAAAACAAATTCTCTGTAACAAACGTCAGTAAGAAGACAAGTAAGAAACTGAAATACTTTCTCTGTAACAAACGTCAGTGAGAGAACAAATTAGAAACTGAAATACTTTCTCTGTAACAAACGTCAGTGAGAGAACAAGTGAGAAATTGAAAAAAATTCTCTGTAACAAACGTCAGTAAGAAGACAAGTAAGAAACTGAAATACTTTCTCTGTAACAAACGTCAGTGAGAAGACAAGTGAGAAACTGAAATACTTTCTCTGTAACAAACGTCAGTGTAAGACAAGTGAGAAACAAATACTTTCTCTGTAACAAACGTCAGTGTAAGACAAGTGAGAAGCAAATACTTTCTCAGTAACAACCACAGTGAGAAGACAAGTGAGAAACAAATACTTTCTCAGTAACAACCACAGTGAGAAGACAAGTGAGAAACAAATACTTTCTCAGTAACAACCACAGTGAGAAGACAGTGAGAAACTGAAATACTTTGTCTGTAACAACCACAGTGAGAAGACAAGTGAGAAACAAATACTTTCTCTGTAATAAACGTCAGTGAGAAGAAACTATTTACATTGACTACCATCGGCTGCGTTGAGAACAGCAGTTTAGAGATGAATTGTTTTATGCTGATGTATGTCGTTGCAGTACAACGTGTAGGTCCTGGTGGCAACCAGTAGGTCCTGCTGTCTCACAATTGGTCGCTGATATCATGGCCTATTCCACGGTGTTGAACAGTGTATCTTGTCTGGCTGGTCCCCCAGTGCTATTCGATACTATTCCACAGTGTGTCTTGTGTCGCTAATAACATGGAGGTCTGCTATCTCACAGTGTGTCTTGTGTGGTTGAAATCCTTGAGGTTTTTCCTGCTATCTCACAGTGTGTCTTGTTTGGTTGAAATCCTTGAGGTTTTCCCTGCTATCTCACAGTGTGTCTTGTATGGTTGAAATCCTTGAGGTTTTCCCTGCTATCTCACAGTGTGTCTTGTATAGCTGATGTGCTAAAGGTTTTCCCCAGTATCTCCTTTCTACCGGGGATGTGCTAAAACTAAATGAATGTGTCTCTGTTTGAAGACTTACCTCCATATGTGTCCAAAGAAAAGCCGTTTGCCGGCCTTTCATTGTGTCTAAAAGACATGGTTTTCATGTTTAACAATTGTGTCATTCAGTGCGCCATCACAGCAAAATAGTTGTAGGACCCAGAAAACGTTTTGAATCGTCACCAGTGTAATAAACTTATCTGGAAATAACAAGGGGGAAAAAGATACACTTATTTTACAAACTGACTTCACAGCACTCAGATATCGCCATAACTGTTCTGTCCCAATCTTCAGCAGCTGCCGAAAAATTCCATCAGGTTTGCATTCTCCTGAGCGTTGCGAGCTGGAGAACTTGTCGATCTGTTCTGCGCACTGCCCACTGACTTTCACAGTGCTTGGATAACATCTATAGTGATAAGTGATTAGAAAAGATTTTCATCACAGCACTCCGGACAGACCTATAGATGCTCCGATCTCCTCAAAAGCTCCACAAGTGCCAAACGTCTGATGACACCTGTTCTGTGTTGGTTAAAGAAACTTCTTGTCCCCTTAGTGAAATGTTTATTTCTTGCAGCTCCAGACTGCACCCCCATGTCCATCAGTCTAGACAAAGATATAGAGTCATGTCCTTTGGCGTGCACCTCGGTAAGGTAAGTACAGCTTCAGGTGTACAGAACCGTCAGTCTGTCTGCCTATTCGTCGCTAGTACATATGTTTATGTAATCATTTCTTCATTCATGCTGAACCATTACATGTTACTTACTACTGGCAATCTATTCCACAATTTAACACCCAGTCAAGCACCCTTTGTTTCTCTCGTCAAAAAGTTCTTTTGTTTGTTTCT